TATGTATATGTATATGTATATATATCTGTTTATGTATATGTATATATATATATATATATATATATATGTATATGCATGTATATGTACATGTATATGTATAAGTATGTATGTATGTATGTATGTATGTATGTATGTATGTATGGATGTATGTATGTATGTATGTATGTATGTATGTATGTATGTATGGACGTATGTATGTATGTATGTATGTATGTATGTATATATGTATATTCGTATAATGTATATATGCATATATGCATATATGCATATATATATATATATATATATTTATATAGTGCCTCTATAAGTCGTTCTTCATATCTCCATCTTTCAGACCTTATAGCTGCGTATATCTATGTGACAGTCATTGAATTTCTATGATTTTGTTGGTGTATTCGTTACGATTCAATTTGAGTCCCTTAGCACATCTATGTCAATTGCCAAATTGTGACTTTCTGGTGTCGATGGGAAGTTCTTTGTCATCGTTTGACATCTTGTGTGGACTGCACGTACATACGCTTTTGGGTCAGCCGCGTCACAGGTGCAATTAGTGCCGGTGGGCCAAAGTAAACTTAATTCATATATATCTTCAGATAGGGCCATACACATATCCAGTTACCCTATACATTAATCTCGTAAATGTTTATAACTAGAAATTCTTCAGTTCAGAACTTCAGATAGGACCATACGCATATCCAGCTACCCTATATATTAGTACCGTCAATTTTTATAACTAGAAATTCTTCAGTATAGAAAGCTCCAGTGTCATAATATTCGAATACTACCGATACTGCTATGGAGATATCAGTTCCGGTAGGAACACAAACGAACACTTCGATGCCGTTTAACTCGCTTCACACCCAGGCTACTTCTGCTTACCCCGCGACGGTCGCAAATAACATATTAGAGATACTAACTATGAATTCCGAGAAAACCATGTACGTCTATATAGCGGCTACATACACTGACAAAAGTGGTGATAGCACATGTTCATACTTGATACACACTGATTGCGCAAACAGACGCTTCTGGCTCAACCCGGGACAAGTACAGATGCACGTGTGGGACAATGCGGGGATATCAATAGATACATTTTTCACCTTCACATAGTCCTATACACATGTCCAGTGACCACATACAGCGAAAACACGGGAAATTCTTAACTATCATATCAAATATACATTCCATTTGCTTAAGTATACATATGCATACAGAGAAACCAGGGAAATCCCTAAATTTCCAAATATACCTACATTCTATTTACTGCACACACAGGCCCTTCTGGCTCAACCCGCGACAGGTGCAGGTAGTACCTGTGGGCAAAGGCTTCAACGAGTACGGTGAGAAGGTGCGCGCCGCCCTACACAAGGCTGGTTTCCATGCAGACTGTGACGATGGACCCAATACACTGCCCAAGAAGGTCCGCAACGCCCAGATCGCTCAGTATAATTTCATCCTAGGTACGTCTTACGCAGCATTTGTGTGTATGTATTCTTTATATATGAATGTATGTAGGTATGCATGTATGTATGTATGTACGTATGTATGTATGTATGTACGTATGTATGTATGTATGTATGTATGTATGTATGTATGTATGTATGTATGTATGTATGTATGTATGTATGTATGTATGTATGTATGTATGTATGTATGTATGTATGTATGTATGTATGTATGTATGTATGTATGTATGTATGTAGTGT